CCTCGGGGTACAGCTAGAGGCAGAGCCCAGGGCTGTCCACCTCCAGCGTCTGGGAAGGAGACGCACGCGGCTTGAGCCTTGCCTAAGTTAGACTCCTCCTGGCTAAGTGACCGTCAGCCTCAGAGTCCCTGTGAGTAAAATGGGGAGAAGAGAGGGTGCCCCCAGAGCTGTTCAGGAAGGCTCCTTGCAGGCTGTCTGCTGTGACCCCGGATGACCCTGCCTCCCTGTCTCCTGGGGTCGGAAAGTGATCCCTGTTGCAATAGCAATTTATAAGAAACCCTGCCCAGGAGCTATTTAGAGGCGAGGTGATAACCCAGGGGGTGGGGCCTTCCTGGTCAGCACAGGAGGGAGGGAGGGAGCCTTCCAGGCGCTGACTCAATGCTGTCTCAGTTTCACTCGGGCTGTGGGCTACCGGGGCCTCACCTGTCAGTGCCTTCTAAATTTGTCCATCCCTCAGCACCCACGCCTGGGACAGACCTAATTAGGCTCATTTCAGTTTCCCAAGGGAAAGGGAAGAACTGAGTCCTCTCATCTTCTGACCCTGTGTCTGCCGCCCCCCAGCCCCAGCCCACCTCCCATCTCTTTGTGATTGGATGATGGAGCCGCCATTGGGCTGGCCCGGGGGCAGTTAGTTCTGACCGGAGCCTCTCCCTAGACAGCAGATCGATGACACTGCTGTCCGAGTGGCAGGCATCTCTGCCGGAGACACTTCGCACCCATGATCCCATGTAGCCCTCACCTAACCCCGTGAAGACACTCAGCATCCCCACGTACGGATGCGGAGACTGAGGGTCAGCGACCAGGTTTCCGTGGAAGGGCACGCCAGAGGTGGGACCCTAACTGCTGGGAGTGTCGGACTCCTGTTTGCCCTTTAGGCTCCCCGTGCCCTCTGTCACGTTACCTCTTCCTCGTCTTCGTGGCAGGATCTGGGTGGTTATTACTGTGGTTATGTCAGCGGTGCTGCGGAGCTCCGAGGGAGGTGGGGCCGATGTGCGTAGGCCACGCAGTGCGCCAGGCCCCTCTCTGTCTGCTCAGCTGGTCCTCCCAGGAGCCGCGCAAGGAGGCGTTATCATACCCACGTTACAGACGAGAAGACTGAGGCTCAGAGACGAAAGTGGTGACCTAAGGCCACCCAGCCAGGAAGTGATAGAACAAGAGTCAGACCCAGCTCCAGGGTTGCTGGAAGGCTGAGGGGCCAGGCAGGGACAAGAAGAGGCAGGGGACAGCAGCAGGGCCAAGGGGCAGAGATAATGGCCACGGCAGAGTCTGTGCCAGGCAGCAGCCGGCATTTCGCAGGCATCTGGAGCTGCGGAAGCATCTTGATGACAACCGCAGGCAGATGCTGGCGCCGGCCGTGCACCGGGCCTGTGGCAAGAGCTTTCCTTCCGAAACAACCCAAGGAGTGCCCTTCTCCAGACGGGGGAGCTGAGGCGCATGGCGTGAAGCCCCTGGTCCAAGGTCACAGAAGCAAGACATGGGAACTGGGGGTTGACTCCTGGTCCCCTTGCTCCAAACGCTGGGAGAGCAGGGAAGGCGTCTTCTGGATGCAACGCTGCACAGGTCAGAGCACCCAGGCCTGGAAGGGTGAGGGGCCTGTCCCGGGCGATGAGCGACAGCAGAACCAAGGCTGGAACCCCATCCTCTGATGCCCCGTGCCCCGTCCCAGCATCCTACCGCCAAACCAGCGGGTGAGACCTTCCAGGGCCTGTGCGTTCGCTCGTTTGTTTTCTCTAAGCAGGGATGTGCACATTTGGAGACCTTTTTTGATAGGAGTGCTGTTCATTAATTGGCCGGTTCCCAAGAGCTCTGCCCTGAGGGAGATGCAGAATGAGCCAAAGAGGTGACCCCTGACCTCAATTTGTCTACAAAGTGCCCTTCTCCAGGTTCTGGGAGGATAAAATTAGAATCCTGTGTTCTCTGCAGAAAGCGGCAGCCTGTGGCTATTGTGATGCCCTGGCTGCTACAGGGTGGACTTCAGGTGGGCAGACGGGTCTGTCTTCAGAGGCTTCTAAAAACCCCAAGGGCCCGAAATATCTCCCATGGGCAGAGTCCAAGATGCCCGACCTTCCACCTCTGCAGAGTCCCCTGGTCAGCCTTCCTTGGTCCCCTTCACGCTGCACCAAATACCGTCCAGTGTGAAGGTGCTTAATGGGCTCTTGACTGATGAGCAGCTGAGAAGCTGTCATTTCTGGGTGAGGGTCAGAGATATCAGTGCAAGTCGAAAACATTAAGGACCAAAACCCCCTCTTGACGATCCCTCCATGAGCTGGTGTTAGCGGACAGATGGCATCTTCTTTATCCCAGGACAGAGCGCTCAGTGCCCACGGTCGGGACACACAGACAGGCTAGGGTCAGTTTTCCCGGTGAAACGGCAGGTTGAAGCCGGAGAGAGTTCATGCCTCCACCCACCCAGGACGCTGGCCCAGCAGGACCGGCCTGTGCATACTCACATAAGGGTGTTCCTGGTATCATAGGCCAAGTCCTGCCTCTGCCTCTTATTTTCCTCTGTCCCTGCCACTTATCTCTTCAGACCTCCATTTCCCCATCTGTAAAATGGGACTTGTCCCACTTACCTCCCAGGGCTGTCGAGAGAATTATAGGAGGTAAGCCAGTACTTGTTGACCCCTAAGGAGGATTCATCAGCCATCCATTCATCCATCCCTCCATCCCTCCATCCATCCTTCCATCCTTCCTTTCATCCATCCATCCATCCATCCATCCATCCATCCTTCCATCCATCTATTCCATCCATCCATCCTTCCTTCCTTCCATCCATCCATCCATCTTTCCCTCCATCCATCCCTCCATCTATCAGCTCATCCATGTGGCATTTGTCTAGTAGCACCTGCTGTATCAGGTCTGTTCTTCTAGGAGGGTGGTGGACAAGACCGGGCTCCCTGCCCTTTTGGAAGTTACAGTCTAGTAGGGGGAGACAGGTAAAAATAAGTAAGTACATAAGTAAGATCATCCCAGAAAGTGCTAAGTACCAAGAAGTACATAGGAAAGGGCTGATGTGACAGTCTCAGGGGTGGCAATGTCTGAGCTGGCTCGTGTGTCACTGTGTTAGAGGAGGTCAGGAACCTCCGGGGCAAAGAAGGAGGCCCAAGGGCGCAGCCTGAGTCACGTCCGCTACGTGGTTTTGGTCGAGCGACGGCACCCTTGGGCCTCAGTTTCCCCATCTGTAAAGTGCAGACAAAAGCCTCTCTCCATGGGGTGGTGGTGAGAACATAATGAGATAATATATGCAAAACACCTCCCATGCAGGCATTAAAGAAATAAGAATGTTAAATTCTATAGAAATGGACAATGTCAATCAAAGTACTAATGATAGAAGACATCTCAGTAGAACCACCTGTAGGATGGCAGGAGCTCATGGCTGAGGAAGCCAAAGCTTTGCCGCCTGGCTCTCGAGAGGGGTTTTTAGAGATTGGTGTTCCGGCTCTGTCCCTGCCGGTTCTGTCCCTGCCGCCTCTGTCCCTGCCGCCTCTGTCCCTGCCGCCTCTGGTTCTGTCCCTGCCGCTGGCTGTTACTGCCCCACCCGTGACCCTGGGGATTCTCGGGACCAGCTGGAGGACCCTCCCATTCTCCTACCTCGAGTCAATATCCAGGCCCCCACATCTGGTCACCTGCCTTTCCTGTCCTCGGGGGCAGGACAGCTGGGGACAGGAGAGGGTGGTGTCCATTTCCCAGGTCAGCCCCAGGAAAGGGGAGGAGCCCAGGTCCTACCCTGCCGGGTTATTTATAGACGACGGCATGTGTTGGTCTGATTGGTTTTTTGTTTTTTCACTTTTTATCTGGAAATAATTCTAGCTTTACAGAAGAGTTGCAAAAATAGGACAGAGGTCCGTGTCCCTCACCCAGCGCCCTGGCGCTAACGTTGGGCGTAACTGCGCTCGTGGGGCAGAGCAGGGGACCGCGTGCTGCGTCCAGGTCTGAGGGCGGCAGGCAGCCCCCCACCCCCCGCTGGCTCTCTGGGCTGAAGCCACTTCCTGTCCGCTGCCTCTCGCAAGGAATGCTTCCTGCCCTCCCTTCACTCCGCCGACCTGGGGCCACGGGCGCCCCAAGATACATGTCCCAGCAGGCAGGGCCGGCAGCCCCGCCGCTCATCCCCACCCACGCCGTCCCCACCGCGACACTGCATCTTCTGGAGGCGATGGGGACTTACCCGGGGCCTTACCGTGTGGCAGGCTGGGGACATGGCATCCCAGAGCCGCAGTGGCAGAGGGTGGCAAATTCCTCCTCGTTCTCTCTTGTCTCCTGAAGAGAAAAACCAGGGAAGAGACTCCCTGGCCCCCTTGTGTCAGATAAAGGTCATAGAATAGCCCCCTGCTGAGCAGCACCCCCTATGACCACTGCAGCGAGGACCCCACACCTGAGAGGACCTGGAGAATGGGGCGGAGGGGCTCACGGTGGGAGCCGGGGACCTCCTGAGCACCACCAATCTCTCCCGACTGTCTCCAAGTCAGATGACGAGAATGAGGCCCAGAGAGACCAGGTCACACAGCCCATAAGCGACAGAGCCAGAATTGCAGCCCAGGCCGGCTACTGGGTTGTTCCCAAATACACTCCATTGTCTCCTGCCCTCTGGGCCCCACCTGCAATCCCTTCCTCTCCACCTGCGATCCCTTCCCCTCCACCTGCGATCCCTTCCCCTGCACCTGCGATCCCTTCCCCTGCACCTGGGATCCCTTCCCCTGCACCTGGGATCCCTTCTCCTGCACCTGCGATCCCTTCCCCTGCACCTGCGATCCCTTCCCCTGCACCTGGGATCCCTTCCCCTCCACCTGGGATCCCTTCCCCTCCACCTGGGATCCCTTCCCCTCCACCTACTTCTCCCTGTGGGATCCTACATCTGCTTACAGGACTCTATCAAAAGACACCTCCGCTCTCTTTTCTGCTGCACGAAGGGAAGGCCCCTCTTCTCCCTGCGGGTGAAGTCTCCGCCATAGCCTTTCACAAACACGTGGCCCTGGGGTCAGGGTGGAGCAAGGTGACTGAGGTCTGGAGCTTTACGTTCCAGTGGGGGAGGCAGACAGCAAAGGAATGTGCCCGAAATACCAGAAGTAAGTGTGAGTGCCGTGAACGTGCTAAAACGTGGCTCTAGCCAAGAGCATCACTGCTCTCCCAGTGGTCAGAGAGGCGCCCTGAACAGTGACATGTGGGCGGAGACCAGGTGAGTGAGAAGGAGCTAACCATGAGAAAGCAGAGTCCACCAGGTGGGGCAAGCAGCAGGTGCCAAGATCCTGGGTGACAACGCCTTCTGCATGCTTGAGACTCCCAGAAAAGGCCAGCAGCTTGGAGCACTTCCTGCCAGATGTCGTCTTCCTCCCAATAGACCAGAAGCTCCTGTGGGGCGGGGGACCATATCCTGGCCCCTAGGCCTCCCCTCACCTGGAGGCTCTGCAAAGTCACTTCTCCTCTCTGGGCCTCAGTTTTTCCTTCTGTAAAATGGGGAGGATACTTCCTAGTCTCCTGAGGGCTTGTGATGTCAGGTGAGGAGCTGTGTGAGACAGACTTCAGCTTGTTCTGAGCACCTGTATGTGCTCTCTCCCCTGAGCTGCACGGAGATGCGACAGGCTCGGGGTCCTCCAGGGTCTTGCTCTGTCCCCCTGAGGAAGAAGAGCACCCGGAAGTTCTTGAATATGGCTGCTCCCCAGCATTGCCTTCTAACAAATAAAATAACTCATCCTTTTCCCCAGGCCTCCTAAGTCAGAAATTCCAAGCAAGGGCCCAGGAGTCTGTCTTTTTAGATTCTGCTGACGACCTTGATGGGCAGATGGGGAAAACACAATAGGTGGCCACAGACCTGGGTCTGAATCCTGGCTCTGCTTCTTGTTGCACTATGACCTCGTGAAAATTGCCAGACTCATCAGAGGAGTTTTCTCATCTGTAGAATGGGAATAATGATAAAATGCGCATCGTAGGATTAGTGTCAGAGTTAAGTAAGAGATAGTCCTGGCCAGTTTGGCTCAGTGGTTGTAGTGTCAGCCCGCGGACAATGAGTCATGGGTTCAATTCTAGTCAAGGGCACGTATCTCGGTTGCAGTTTGTCCCTGGCGCTGGTCAGGTCGTGCGGGAGCCACTTGATGTGGCTCTCTCACATCGATGTTTCTCTGTCTCTCTCTCTCCCTCCCTCCCACTCTATCTGATAAGTGGAAAAATATCCTTGGGTGAGGAATAAATAAATATATAAATATATATATATATATATATATATATATATATATTATATAAAGTGCTTAAAATAGTAACTGGCATGTGATAAACATTCAGAAAATCATCACTGCTATTATGATTGTAGTTTTTATTAATAATCTGTGGGCTGTGTGGCATCACTTCCCTCCCTCCCCTCCCTCCCTCCCTCCCTCCCTCCCTCCCACACTCACTGGCCCCATCAGCCCAGGACCTCTGCAACACATGTGAGAACCAGGAGCAGAGCCCCAGGTCGCAGGGCCCCGGTCCCAGGGCCGGTCTCCTCTGCCAGGCCCACCCCTGACTCACCTCTGTCATTTTCTTTTGCAGAATTCTCCACTCTGGTGGCTGAAAGCTAAGAGGCTCTGGCTGCCCAGGTCTTCCACCTCTCTATCCCCAACCCCCAACCTCAGCCCCTCTCGCTGCCTTCCTGCGTTTCTGTTCAGTTTGTTTATGTTATTTTTTACTCCCCCTGGTCCTCCTTCGGCCCTCAAATGACACCATTCTTCTGGAAAATGCTGGAGAAACAATAAAGGCTGTACCAATCGGATTCTGCTGCTCGAAAGGATCCAGGACAAGGGGCTGGGGTGGGTCCTGCCTTGGCTTTCCAGACACCTGTGCAGGGGTGGGGGTGGGATTTAGACAGAAAAGAAGGGAGGAAAGAGAAATCTACTGAGTCCCTCTGCATTTGTTACTGAGCACAGCACGTTACCCTTTAAGGGTTGCCCGTTACCCTTGAAACCGCCCCATCGGTAGGTGATGAAACTCCCATTTTCCAGATCCTTAAAGAGGAAGTGATATGTCTAAGCCCACACAGCTAAGACTTGTGGATGGATGAGTGGATGAATGGATGGACAGAGGGGCAGATGGATGGATGGATATCCATTAAAACTCTTTTTGTTACAAATGACAGAAAGCCAACTCTAAGTAACTTAAGCAGAAAAGGAAGGAAAACAAAGACTTGAGTGGTTATGGACCTATTAGTCCAAGGTGGGGCTTCAGGAACAGCTGGATCAGGGGGTTCAAGTGATAGCATCAGGATGGAGTACTCCTTCCCTGTCTCCAAGCACTGCTGTCCTTCGTGCTGCATCATTCGTGATGGCGAGATTCCCCCAGAGCTCCAGGTGTACATTCAGCAGTTAAAAAAAAAAAAAGTATCCTGGCCGGTGTGGCTCACTGGTTGAGCGTCAACCCATGCACCAAGAGGTTGCCGGTTCGATTCCCGGTCAGGGCACATGTCCAGGTTGTGGGCCTGATCTCTAGTGGGGGGCATGCAGGAGGCAGCCAGTCAATGTTCTCTCTCATCCATGTTTCTATCTCTCCCTTTCTCTCTCTCCAAAAATCAATAAAGAAAAATATTTTAAAACAAGAGCTTCTCTTTCCCATTCACTCCATCAGAGGGCCCCAAATTCAGTCCTATCAACACCAGTAGCTAATGTCGACTGCGCACTTGCTCTGTGCTGAGCCAGTCCACGATCCCACCTGTACAACAACCCTATTATCATCTTCATTTTTCAGATGAGAAAACTTAGGCACAGAGAAGTTACATGTTTGCCCAAGATCACACAGCAAATCAGTGGTGGAGCCAGGACCCTAACTCTGGCAGCCACCCCCAGAGCCTGTGTTCTGCCCAAACTGGTCACAGGATGGGGGCCCTGATTGGCCCTTTCTGGGGGTGCCCATCTGCGAAGATGTGTGGGGTCAGTCACTCCGAAAGCTCATGGCCTGAGAGTTGGGAGAATGTCCCCGTGGAAATCAGAGGTGGCGGACCTCTGGTGGGGACGCAGCCCTGCAGGGTGGTTCCTGCTCCCTCCCACCTTGGCCTTGGGGTGGGAACAGAGTGGCCTTCTCCCTCCCACATGCCGGGCTTCCCACACAGAGCGGTGCCGACCCTTCCCCAGGGCCCCAGGGCCGCCCTGGCAGGACGGCAGGGAAGGCGCACACTGAGGACAAGGCCCAGAGTGGCACCTCGCTCGGGGTTCGGCCGAGGGGCAGGAATAGACAGGCTCACCTCCCTGGGTGGCAGCCAGCAGCCCAGGCCTGGAAGGAAACGGGGACCGGAACTGGGCCAAAGCAGCAGCAAGCCCGAAGGGCCACCCTGCCGTGGGCTCAGCCAGATTGCGGCACGGGAGCTGCGGGGTGTACTCAGCAGGCCGCGGGTGAGGTACACACATGCACACACGCTCGTGGCGATGGACCAGGGCTGACCCAGTGCTCCGTGAGGATGGGGTGAGGCTGGAGACAGTGTCTCCCCTGGAGCCCAGGTCGGGGCCTGTGAGAGGACAGGCAGTCCGGACAACACGGATGGTGCCTGCTGGCCTGGGGTGGCCCCCACGTCCAGTGACAGCCACACACTGCTGCTGAGACTCGGGGCGGCGTGAGCGACAGCCCAGCGCGCGTGAGAGCAGGGTCGCTGGGGACACAGGACACGGGATCCAAAGCCCTGGATTTGGAAGGAATTTACCTGGAGCCTGGGCAGGACCGGGCGGGGCGCCTTGTGGGGCTGGGAGGGAAACAGCGTGTGGCACAGGGTGGATAATGGTGAGCGACACTAACACCAACAGGCAATCGCCAAACCCTCCTCCCCTGCCCCCCAGGCTCTCCATTTGCCTGCGCCCTTGCCCCCCCTCCCACCACCTCAGCCTCCCTCCGGACTGCAGGCCTCTCTTCAAATGACGCGTTACCTCCAGCTACTGTAACTCAGGTTTGGCATCTTCGTGGACTGGGACCGTTGCCACTGCGTGGAGGTGGCCTGGCCCAGCCAGGCTCTGAGAGATGCTGCTGGAAGCTGCCCGGGCCTGGACCAACGTGTGACCTCCTCCCCCTCCCAATCCAGGGCTCTGTCTCCAAAACACACCCGGTCACATGTTCTCCTGCTTAAACTATCCAGGGACTGCCCCATTGTCGAATAAAATAACTCTATTTTATTTACTGTCTTATGATGTGTTTATAATGAAGTATTCTATAAGTCATTTTAGAGCATAAAAGATCAGGCACAGCCTTCTTCCCTGCCCAGGGCCGCCCGGCCCCGTATCCCACCAGCTGCACGAGGGCCTCGCCCTCTGGGCCCCCCAATGTTCTCCCAGCCTGGACCCTCCGCTCTCCCTGCCTCCCCAGCCCCTCGCCCTGGCTCCATCCTGTTCATCGTCAGGAAAGCCACCCAGAATGGATGCCCCATTGGGGTGGAGCCCTGACCTCCCCCGCCCACCCCATGAAATGGGGAGGGGGAGTGTGACCATCTAATTCGCAGCCATGTGTCCCAGAGATCATAAGATGCTCCAGGGCACATCTGGGGTTCCCTGCTGGATCGCAGGGCCCGGCACACGGAAGGGCAACACGGCCCAAATGTGAGCACAGAGGCTCGATGTGGCCACAGGCTCACTCAAGGCCACAAGAAAAGTGCCGAGCAGAACAGGGACTAGACCCTAACGGCCGCTTTGCATCCCACCCGGGCCTCATCCAGCCTCACCCAGAGGCCTTCCAACTCAGCAGGGAGGGAGGAGCCCCGGGAAGCCCTCCCTGCCCAGCACCTGCTCTGCAGCCGGTGTCATCACTCCAACACCCACCAGCCTCCAGCATCCTCCACACAGTACCCCACCCCCAACGCTCCCCCTCTCAGTTTGCTCGGCAGCTGAGCAGTCTGCTCTTCTTCATTGTTATGCTCAGAGGAGCCTCGTTCATTATCTCAGGCCCCTTCTGTCTGGGAGAGGCTGGGAGGGAGGGGGGGAGGGAGGGGGCCGGGGCGAGGAGCAGCAAGTGGTTCCTGAGTGGCTTTCGATAAGAGTGGAATCGGCCTGCATGTGAGCAGAGGGCGGAATGATGGATTGAATGTCCGGACGAGGAGAGGGTGCCACACGTGAGGAGAGAGGGTGAGGGCAATCGGAAGGAAGGCTCAGAGGTGGGGAAGGATGAATGAGAAATGAGGGGCTGAAGACTCTCCTCTTTCTGCCATGGGCTTGCTGGACAGAGCTGCCCTCCCAGCCCTCCTCTTCCTCCTTGGAGCACCTACCGCATGCGCCGGACTGCTGGGCGCTTGGGGATACCACCTCTTAATTCACGGCGCGCCCTCCGCCCTCCCAGGGACAGAGCCGCCCTGTTTTACAGGTGAAAAAACTAAGGTTCAGAGAGGTTAGGTGACATGCCCAAATCACACAGCTAATCAAAATGAAAACACGTACCCATCCAGTCAACACACAGCTTTCGAGGGCCCACTGTGCTCCACACAAGCTCAGCTCTTCCGAAGCGCCACCCCACCGAACCGTCGCGGGCTCTGAGGACTCTCCCCACGGCATGCTTCTCTCTGCCCTCCACTGACTGAAGACGCCCCACCCCAGGGCCCCTGCCGCCACTCCCCCGGGACAGGTAGCGGGGAGGATTCAAACTGGTGACTTTCTGTGGGAGTCGGGGGGCCGAGTGTGAGGGGCAGGTCAGTGGTTGGGGTGGAAGTCCAGGGCCCTCTGCCCACTTGGCACCCTCCCCTTTGGTCCAGCCAGAGAAGGGCCTGGACAGCCAGCCCTTGTCACAAAGGGCCCTCACCTGACTTACCTTCGTTTCTGCTCCCCCCGTCCCGTCTCAGGGAAGGGTAGAAGCTACATCCTCATCTTGACGAGGGTCAGACTTCTGAGGGTGGGCAGCCCCAGTGGCACACAAACCAAGGTACCCTCATCAACCCTATTTTGCAGACGAGGAAAGGGAGCATCAGGTATCTCGGCAGGTACTCCAGGACCCATTTGCTTCACCCCACTCTTTGACGGGGACGGAGACAGGATTCAGACTTCAGGAAGCCTGACCCTGAGCCAGCCCCCATACCCATCTGCCTCCCCCGTGTCCCCGCAGAGGGCCCTGGAGACCCCGGGGCGCTCCTGTGTCTTCCTCTCACCCCTTAGCCATCACTGCCTGTGCTTCTCCTCCCTTTCTCAGAGGACCCCAAACTCCTGAGCAGCGTACAAAGCCCTCATGCCTGGCAGTTCCTCCGAAAGTTCAATATGGTGCTTATCCGTGACCGAGAAATCCACGCCCAGGTTTGCATCCAAGAGACATGAAACCAAGTCCGCGCAGAAACTCGCACACCAATACCTGTGGCAGCATTATCGGGACAGCCAAGAGGTGAAAACCACCCCCTCGTCCATCAGTGGGATGAACGGCATATGGTTCAGCCTTAAGAAGGAGAGAAATTCCAACACCTGCCACAGCACGGATGACCCTTGAGGACATTGTGTTCAGTAAAAGAAGTCAGACACAAAAACCACATATGGTAGGATTCCTTTTATATAAAATGTCCAGAATAGGTAAATCCATGGAGATAGAAAGCAGATTAAAGGTTGCCAGAGGCTAGATGGGTGGATGGATAGACGGATGGTTGGACAGATGGATGGGTGGATGGATGGAGGGGTGGAGAAGGGGAATGGGGAGTGATTACGTGATGGGTACAGGGCTTTCTTCTGGAGAGATGAAAAGGTTTTGAATCTGGAGGGAGGTGGCACTTGCATGGGAAGATGAACACACTAATGCACTGGGTGGCACACTGAAGTGGCTAGTTGTGTGTTACGTGAATCTCACCTCAGTCACCATCATCGCCATCATCGCCTGTCTTCCCAGGTGGTGGTTAGGTTGGACGGTGGGAATCTCACGATTGTGCCTCCAGCACCTAACACGGCCCCGGGCACAAAGGAGGAGCTGACAACACTAGTGGAACAAATACACACGTAAACAAAGAAAAGCATTCACAAGTGGAAAAGAAAGCAAAGCATCCGTATATGGAAGATGCTAATTTAATCCTTTCCTAAATTAAAGGCAGGGCAGGCTGCCTGAGGAGGAACTGGGTTTATTTTGTGGGACTCTGCAGGCACAAAATCAAAACCAACCAGGGGATTTACAAGGCAACAGCTCTTGATTAAACCTGAGAAAACCCTGTCTGCCCTTCGAGCTGCTGGGCAGTAAGACAAGCTGTCCTGTAAGGCAATGAGCATCCTGTCATGAGAAGCATTCAAATGGAGATGAGGGAACTTGTTGAAAGAGCTCAGACATCAGCAGAAGAGTCCCTTCCAACTCTGAGACACCGCGATCTGAGCCGACTTGCAGGCCATTAGTATCCATTTAACTCCTGCTGGCCGCTTGCTACCTTGTTGAATCAATCATCACCTGGATA